TTCTAATGTATGTTGATTCACTAATATAATGTAAAAACCACGTGTTTTAATCCTATAAAAACTATCTATATAGAACATACGTATATTATAATTTTTTTAAATTTTGATTATATATTTTTTATTTTATAAATAAAAAATTTGTTTAATATAAACAAATATATTAAAAAATTAAATTATTAAAAAATAAATTTATTTTATTAAAACATCAATAGAATATTGCATCAATTTAACCATCATTCAATTCCATCGTATTAGTATGAAACGTTGTTGTATGTATAATTATACAAAAATTGTACAATAGTTTTGTAAATATTTAATATTCAACATTATAGAAATGAAATATTTCATTGAATAAATGTGATAAATATAATAATAAAATTTATTATATTCATTTTTATTATAACCTTATAAAAAATATTAAAAAATTATGACATCTAATAAAATTTGGATTTGGAAGAACGTTCCTGGTATTATCGGTCGTTATAATGATATAATTTATTCATATCCAATGTTATCACCAAGTCAAGATATTCTTCTATATTTTGGAGGTGACATTCAGGTATATAAAATAATATTTATCATTATGATTTTATTAAATAAAAATACAATGTGTAAGCATATTTTGATTGTAGGATATTCAAGAAAATATGGAACATACAGTTAACAAAACTTATATAGAATGGAGTTTACAAAATACTGCTAAAATACTTAATATAAATTTTCCTAAAAAACATGTGCTATTAATTCGACCATCTAGGTGACAAATATAAAAATAATAAATTATTTTTTATATAATTTTTAATATTAATAACGTCAATATTATTTTAGAATATATGGAACAATAAGCTCTTTTAATAATTTTGTATTATCAAACGAATATGGTGTGCCATCATTTCTTCCAATATATAATGCTTTAGAACATTTGCAAGAATTAATTAAATCTTCTTTAAATCATATTAAAATGTGTAATGCAAACAGGGTATATATATTTAATTACTTCATATATATATAAAACTATAAATTATTATTTATATAATTATAAATTGAATTAAAATAAATATACTTGTTGTTTAGGAATTTACTCATTTTAATATTGAAAAATTAAATATAACATTAATGGGCTTTAGTAAAGGCTGTGTTGTTTTAAATCAATTATTACATGAATTTCACTATTATCAAAATAAATCAGAACCTGATATGAACATTAATAATTTCATAAATCTTATTAAAAGTATATGGTGGTTAGATGGTGGGCATGCAGGTTCTAAGGATACATGGATTGTAGATAAGCCTATATTAGAATCTCTTACAAAATTAAGTAATATACTTTATCAAATTTGAAATTTTTTTTTAGAGAATTCTTTATTAACTTTAGATTTAAAAAATCTATATATCATTTTAGGAATAGACATTCATGTTCATGTGACACCATATCAAATTAAAGATTCTCATCGTCCATGGATTGGTAAAGAAGAAAGTCTCTTTTGTAATATTTTACAAAGTATGAAAATTCCTGTAAAACGAACTTTACATTTTGCAGATAAAAAAAGAAGTTTACAAAATCACTTTAATATTCTTAAAGCTATTAGAAGTTATGCACAGTAATTTTTTTAATTTATGTACCTTATTTATAATTTTTGAGAAAATAGTACTATTAGATTAATTACAAATATTTTTTTACAATAGAACCTCTATCATTTAAATTAATTATATATAAAATTATTATATAAAATTAATTATATAAAATATTAAATTTCATATATAATTCTATAATTTTTTATAAAAAAAATAAAAGAAAATCTATAATTGCAAGAAATTTTATTTTTTTTTATGTAAATGTAACTTAATATGTAACTTTTTAATTTATATATGTATAGTATATATTATATAAATATCAATAATAGAAATTCAATTGCATGTTTCATATCACAATATACAATATTATGTATTATATTAAAATTTCTAATAACTTAATATTTTAATATTTATGCATAAAAAATGTTTCACAATATATTTTTTATTACATAATTTTTTTTATTATATTATCTAATCAGTATTTTTAATGAAAATTTTTAAATATTTTTATGATGATTTAAATAACATTTCTATAATTATATAATACAAATAGTACATTTCATAAAATACAACTTTGTACATTATAAAACTTAATCTATTCACATATAATCTATACACACAAGAGTAGATATAGAAGTATTAATTTAGTTTAAAAAAATTATAGAAGATCAGAAAAAAGATAATTTAAATTAAAAGATCTATGTAAAATAAGAATTTTCTATAGATATTTTAAACATATATCTATATATGTTTCTTTGTATTAACATCTATTTTGACATTTAGTACGATAATAAGTTATACTTCCAGACTCTGAAACAAATAGTTGCTAAATAGAAAAACAATATTTAATTTATATATATATATTATATTATTAATAATTAATGTCTAATGTAAATTATTTAAATTTTATGTAGTTTTTCAATAAATATATTTACCATTATTTAAATGTGATATTTTAATTTCAGCCCATTCATCAGATCCATCGCAACAATCACAATATCCATCATTAACTTTATAAGATGGTATTTTTACTAGGATTTATAAAATTAAAGATTTATAAAATTAAAAGAAAAATAAACATATAATAAAATATAAATTATTAAATACCTATAGATTGTGAAGATGAAAGTTCACAATTAAAGATACCATTGTTACATGCATTGGTACCAGGTTCATCACTACCATCCACAGGACAATCACAATAATTATCATTAATTTTAATAAAATCTATTTCATCTTTTGATACGACACAAACAAATTTTCCTCGCACATTTGGTAAATATTTTGAAATATCTTGATCACGTGTACCACGTAATGATACAGTTCGACCGTGTTTATCACGAAGCAGTTTTGAATGTAATGGTTCATTCCACTTTGAGTTTATTTTACCAGTAATAATATAATTAGATGTTCGTACAGATCCACTTATTAATTTTCCTACAATCGCTTGATTAAGTTCTTTGAAATAAAATAATTGGTGTACAACGAATATAATAGCAGCTATGAAAACACAAATTAATGTATATTTCAATCTTTTTCGCAAAAATCGACGTTTCCAAGAAGTTTCGGTTTTCATATTTATCGATTTTTTATAGTAATTATTTAATATTAAATTTTTTTTTAATAATTAAAGATATTTTTAAATCAATGTTTTTTTCAATAGTAATTTGTTTTTGTAATTGTATAATTTGTTATCCATATCTTATAATAAGCTTAATAAAATATGTATTTTTTAAATACACAAAGATCACATCACAAATTATTTACAAATAATCAGTAATTCGTTCTATTTCTTTTGAACATAGATAAAATTAACCTGTGAAGCTTGTTATACAAATGAAGTTGTCTACAATTATCGAAGGAATTATCCAATTATTGAAACAATTTGAATTTGATGAGAAAATTAATAATTTTATTAAAATATATTATTAAAAATATTTTTAGAATCACATATTATATGTTATATCGATCATTTTTTAACATCAATGTTAGAAATTTATATATATATATTTGCAATATAGAAAAATTTATATATAAAATATATATATAATATATGAATTTATATATAAAATATATATAGAAATATATGTAAATCTTATAAATAAAAATTCGAAAACAGACAAATAGATATATATATTTATAATATATAATAATCAAATCGAATCTGTTAAGATTTTTAATAGTTTAAATAAGACAATAAAGTCAATCGGCGATTTCTTTTGAACTCCTCTTTTCTCATGAATTTTATAAAACAAATATAGACAAGAACATAATAAATTAAGAACAGAGATAAAATGAAAAATTGTGAAATCAGCATCTTTATCTTTAGAAAATCGTAAATAAAATTTTATATAAGGAAATAAGATAGAAATAAGAATTGATCATTAACGCTATTTCTTAAATTCAAAAATTTTTTTAAAAATATTCAAGAGATGGCGCTGATGACCAATTCTTATCTTATCTCTATCTTTCTATTATTTGCTACCTCGTGTAACTAGTTTTATTTGCTTCAATTCTGAAAATGGTATTAATTTCATAATTTTTTTAATTCTTGTCAATTCGTGAAGAATTTCGAATATCTTTTTATTTATTTTATATTTTATATATTCATAAGATTCACGAAAATTATAGATAACAAATTAAAATTTCACTATAAGTATATGAAAAAAAATTAAAATGTTAAATTAAAAATAATGAGTATTTATGAAATTTTGTTTAATAACAAATAATTACTATTATTATTGATATTGATGAGATTAACAAATATAATGAAAGCTAAAAGTTATTTTAATCTTTTTTTAAGCATACAAGTAATTTTTTTTTTAATGTTAAATTTTACAATTGTAAAAAAAAATCAATAATTGTAATTTTATAAATGCAAAATTGGACAATGTTTTAATCAATACATATGAAATATAATATACTTAATATTAAATGCTACTCTGATTGTAATTTTTATGATAAAATATTGAACTGTTTTGAAAAAGTTTTTGAAATCTATTTTATCATATATTACAATGTAGAAAAAAAATATGTAAAAATTGTTGAATAATTCATAATATATAAACGAATTGTTGCAATACGTTAATATATATTTTTGAAGAGAATAACGCAATTTCTTATTACATTGGTCTTCCCATGCCACGATTCATTGGAGCTTGTGGTCCATTATCTTGACTACTTCTAGGATTTTTTATAGTTTCGTCAACAGATAAAATTAAACATGCTGCTTCAGTTGCTGCTGTTAGAGCATTAATTTTTACAACAGCAGGTTCCCATACATAAGCTAACATGTTATCACCAATATCTTCAGTATTGATATCAACACCATAAGTATGCATGCCTTTATGTTGTTTTTGTCGCAATTTATTTAAAATATTTGTTGCATCAAAACCAGCATTATCACATAATTGTCTGAAATTATTATTATTTTGTCTGAATTATTATTTTCCTATAAAATTTAAATTTGAATAATGAAATAAAAATTAAAAACAAAAATGTGTACCTTGGTATAACTTCAAGTGCACGAGCTATTGCTCCAATTAAAAGTTGTTCTTTTCCTGCTATCACACGAGAATAATCTCGCAATGTTTTTGATAATTCCATTTCAATAGCTCCACCACCAGCTACATAGGCATTTGTTTTAAATAATCGTCTTACAACCATTATAGCATCATGCAAAGATCTTTCAGTTTCTTCTAAAAATTGTTCCGCTCCTCCACGCAATATAAATGTACATGTTTTAGCACGTGATCCTTCATAGAAGAAGTTAAATCTAAAAAATGATTATTTTGATATAAAATTATTGATAAAATAATTTATTGAATTTAAAATACCTTTCTCCTCCAATTTGCCTCTCCTCAAATGTTTCACATCTACCAAGATCTGAATCTTTAATGTCATGTACAGTTGTTAGAATACTTCCGCCACATGCTTTCATTGTTCTTTTTAAATCTTCTTCAGGAACTCTACCTGCACAGAACATATCTCGATCTGCGAAATATTGTGTAGCAACATCACCAATTGGTAATTTCGACAATACAACTTGTGCTCCACTTTTATGGATTTTGTCAAGTTTATCATATAAAATTTGCCATTCAGCATCAACTATTTTTTGATATTCCGTAACATTATCCACGCGTATTTCAGCGTTATCTCTTTCTGCTTTAAGTTCTAACTCTATATTTAATAAAGCAATTTTACAATCTTGATATTTTTTTGGTTGCATTTCAAATCCTGCATAAGAAAATGTTTTTTTAAAAGCTACTCCTTTAACCAATTCTGAATCTTCTAATGCTCCACCAGAAACCTACATAATGTATATAATGATGAATAAATTTAATATAACATCTTTTATAATATCTTTTATAATATTATTAAAAATTAATATTTTTATATTAATTTTTAAATAATGTTAATAAATTATATTAATTTTTAAATAATGTATGAATACCTTTTTAATACCAATCATATTAAGAGGTAACATTTCATCAAGCATCATAATAGCTTTTACAACCATACGACTGAAAAGCTCTTTTTGCTGATGAATTAATTTTGAACTCATAGATGTAGCTGCACATTCTTCTAGAAGTTCCACTAGTTTTGTTTGATCAGATTTATCTATTTTTACACTCACTGCATTTATTTTATCAATTGCTACTTGAAGTGCTAGGCGAAGAGCTTTAATCATAATGCGTGGATGAACTCCTTCCTCAATAAATGGTTTCATTTGCTTTAAAAATTCTCCTGCTAATAAAACTACGCTTGTAGTACCATCACCAACCTATAATGTGAAAGATAATTAAAGTATATACAAAATATTTGTAAAATGAATATAATTTAATATGTTTGAACATTATTGAGATAACTATATATCTTTAAAAAATTATCAGTCTATAAGTTCTTAATATATTATTTTCTGTAAATTAGTTAGTAATGTTATATTTTAATCACATTACTATTTTTATTTTTTACAGAATTTTTATATTATTTATGAGATATTATTTACCTCTGCATCTTGAGACTTTGCAATATCTACTAAAGTTTTAGCTGCAGGATGAACAATTTCTAGAAGCCTCAAAATGGTAGCACCATCATTTGAGATAGTTGCTTTACCATTTTGATCAACAATAAGTTTATCCATTCCACGAGGACCTAATGTAGTTCTTACAGCATCTACTACTACTTGACAAGCATTTATATTTGATATTAATTGTTGTTTTCCTTGTGCAGCATCTGTGCCTTCTTTAAGTAAAATTATTTGCGGTTGCTATAAAATATATATGTAAATAAACTATATATTCATTATTAATAATATTGATTATAATAATAATAATAATAATAATGATAATATACTCTCATATATCTTCCCATTTTTATTATTTTATATTTAAATGCACATGTGGTTTTATAATATTATGGCAACAAATATGAAGTCTGTCAAATTTTAAGACAAGTGAATTAAGAATTAATTTTTTTCTTTTGTTATTATATAAAATATTCACAATCAATATTCTATAAATTAATCAATATTTAATAGTATTTAAAATTTGAATATTTTATAACACATTAATTATATTGATTTCATATACAATATGGAACTAAGCCGAAATTAATCGCCATATAAGGTTAGATCAATTCAAACTATAATTCAACTATAATACGATTTTCATTTTTATATATATATATTTTAATTTATTATTGTTCTAAGATCAATAATATATCTGTATATAATTTTTCATTAGTATCGAAAAAAATTACATACTTTGCTCATATAAATCAAATTAATTTTATAAATTTCTCTTATAACAAAATCGCCAATATAAATTCATATTTTTGAGTAAAAGTTTTATATTTTTATAAAAATTTTATATTCTTTGAAATAAGATATTTAACTTATAACTTACCATTTTTATATTTTGTATTACAATTTTTCAATTTTTTAAATATTCGCTCACTATACTTGAGCAAAGTACTTGGGTAACCTGTAAATAGTATTCGAGATGATTCTGCTAGAATACAAGCGTTAAGTATCGTTCACACTTAACGGAAGTAAATCCATCAAAAATAATTGACCAATAAAAATTTAGCTGAAAATTTAGAGATTTAAATTTGTTAACATAATATATCATGTAAGATAATATAGTTGTAGTATATTATTTGAGATAATTTAAATTTTAATTTTAAAAATAGATAATTATATAAAAATAAAAAATAAATATTATTATTAAAGTTAAAATATAAATTGAGATGTTTAAAAATATAATTATTTTAAGTGTTAATATATTGTAAATTCAA